GTTTTGAGATATGCAACCACTAAAGAACTGTTAGGTTATCCTCTCTTATTTTGGAGCAGAAAAGTCGTGTCAAACATTTGTTTTTGTGTACACACCCTAACAATTGGATTTGGCTTAACCTCCTTTTTTAATCTATAAGAACCTCTTAATCTTGCAACGGAGATCTGACCTGAGACCCGTGTATTTTTAGATGCTTAAGGCCAACCATGCCACTCTTCTACTGTTGCATTTTTCTATTGTGTTTTACAAAATGCTATAAATGCCTGTAGTCATTCAAAAAGCAACTGATCAGACTGCATTGATCATGATGGAGCTGAATGGGGATTTAAATGAGTCTCATTAACTGATTGTCATTGTGAGAGCCAGCTGACTTATAGGGTGAAATACTGATTATGCATTCTGCCTCAATCAGCAAGGTAGAAGTAATACATCTAAGCTTCACAGCAAAGAATTTAGAATATATGTATGGATGTAACAGCAGGACTGAGGGAAGCATAATGACATTATGTTAGTGCTTGACAAAATAAGGGATTATTCAAGATTTTTGTAATCATAATTGGCTTTAAGACTAGTTGAATTATATAAGAAACTTCATAATCCTTTTGGTTTGTCAGCATAGTAACACTAAGCCCAGTATCAACCTTTTCAGTGTCTGTGTTGAATTGATAAATCAACTCTTAGGCATATCTTGGTGAAACATCCATTAAACTTCCTAAAATGTTTTATTGTAATCAAAATAAAGCAACAATACATATTTGAAATAAACTACATATAAAATACAGGATTTCATATTTATTTTTACAATATATTAAGATGCTGACAACCTCTTAAGCCTGACAACTACAGTAAAGATCATACTTTGCATGTCAGAGCCTTGAAAGATATCTGGTTTGACAGCATTTATTGAAATTGCTGTTCATTGGTTGATGGCCTTCTGGCAGAGAAAACCTTCTGTCTGGATATCGGCGTGACCTGGATGTTTAAAAATGGGTTATCCTGCATGTGTCACATTAAGCAAATCCACGCTACATGCTGGTTATGTCAGACGCTTCTACAAGTTTATCTTTCACTGTCAGTCAAACTCTCTCATTCATAAAAATGTTTATATTCAGTTCAATTCAGTTTATTTCTATAGCACCAATTCACAACACATGTCATCTTAAGGCACTTTACAAAGTCAGTTCAACGAGATCCTACAGTCTGATTGATTCAAAGTTTTCTGTCTGAGGTAAAACATTTGATTGCATCGACTCATTGACTCAAAGGCAAAACCTTCGCACCAAGCATGCTTGTAGCGACAATGAAGAGGAAAACTCTATTTTAACAGGAAGAAACCTCCAGCAGAACCAAGCTCAATGTGAGCGGCCATCTGCCGAGGCCAACAGGGGGTCAGGGAGACAGAAGCCACACCACATACACACAGCCACCTTTGAGAGCGACATTTCCAGAGTCAGTAATAGTCTTTATTTTAAAATTTACACCATAGAAGGTTAAAAACCAGCTGCTGACATTAGAACTAGTTTTCTGATATTTACAACTATCCCTGCCTCAGCGTGGGGTTATTTTTAGGCATTCACTTTAAACTAGTTGAAATAATCTATATTTCTGTATTGATTAATTCATGTTAAGTTTGTTATTTAATTGCCCAAGACCTTTAATAGTCAAGATCAAGCCATTCTCTTTAAACACTTTGTGTTTAAACTTACTGTTTAAACTGAGTCACAGATATTCTGGTCATCAGAGCTGTGTGATATATTTCAAAATGACTGTAATCACAGTGTCGTTATAGGCAATGTGCATATATAAAAAAAGGACCTCTTATACTGCAATAAGATGCCAATTTTTTGAATGTCCTTCATTCAGGCTGTCTATGCCTCTAATATATTAGGTGACTACAGGGAGGTAAGGATTGGGTGCTGATGAAGGTTCTCAGTCATCCAGGTCATAGTAATTCCGTAAAAATTAAAAAAAAAAAATATCCACTGGACTTGCTTTCCAAGATTTGGAGACGTTTCGCCACCTCTCCAGGAAGCTTTCTCAATAAAAAAAAAATAACTATTTACTTTGCCAACACAGGAGAGGTCACTGAGAAGCAGCTGTTGCAATTCAAATTTGTTGTTATAATGGAAATCGAAGATTTGATTTATTTCCAAGTAGCTAAACTTTGTGCCTCTGCAGAATAAGACGCCATACTATGAGGTAATTCAGCCATTTAATTCAGATGTTACTCCAGTGTACACATTTTAAAACACCTTAGTATTAGACAACTACTACATGTTTTGTACACCTCAATGGAGTTAAACAGATCTGGTATGTACTATTAATTGTATATATTTGGTAAAACCTGACAATGATTCTTTTTTTCTCCAAATATTTTAAGATCTGTCAAATCTCATTGTCAGGAACTCACCTGTCTCATCTCAAGAGCTGGATGTTTGCCTAAAAAAAACCCAAAAATAAAACTACTTTTAAGAAATTCCTTAAGAAATCAGCAGACTTAAGCACTGGGCATGTCCCATGCATCAGGAAACAACCCAAGCATGACCCTGAAACACTTATTAATAACACAGAAAATATATATATTTTTTTTATTTCTCTTTTTATCTTTATTTACTTTTCTTACAGAATATTGTGCGCTCATGCAACAATAAGTCACAAAGTAATGAGTGTAAAACACATTTTGTAAATGCAAAGTGTAGTTTAAATTGTTATTATGTCACAAAGTGAAGAGATGATGAGCAAAGGTTGGCAGCGTGGTTATTGTGTAATGGTATCCAGGGATTTGGCTGTAAACATGCTGTGTATATTTAAGCCTCTGACATTACACATTTAGCTAGATATGCTTCCTTTTCAACAGCTGCTTCCTTGTCTGACTTTCAATCCAAGAATCAGGAATTACCCAAACATTTCCCATTCATTCCGGCAGTAGCTCTTCTGTCAGCTATAGGTATTTGCTGCTATCCATCCTCTGCAACAGCATGTAAAGTGTAACCTACAATTAATTGCAATGCTGCAAACAAGAAAAGGTTTTGCAACTCCTGCTTCATTAGAAAACCACGGTGTGAAAGTTTGCCTTTTTAATGTTGGCACCAATGCAAGTATGCACAAATGAAACTGGTGAGAAACAATTGATTTATTGCACTGAAACCAAAACTTGTCTAAGATGCCCTGAGGCTGCACTAAGCAAGATCTGAATTGAAGACAAACACTAACATAAACCACCTTCTGCAGCTCCAAACATAAACATTTTATGAAAGAAGCATATCATTGAATTTTTTGTTTTTAAAATGTCATGTTCAGCTACATTTCTTATCACCAAGAGCACTAAAGGTTCCTCACATGTAAGTGAGTCTCACTAATGTGAGAAAAATAAAACCACAAACTTGATGGTGTATATTTGCTAAGAACTTGGCAAAGATGTTTTAAATCAAAGCAGTTATATCATGACATTAAAGTTTGGTGCAATTTGCACTAAACACTTGAACTGACCAGGTCTTCTGTTTGTCTTTTCAAAGCTGCAAATCTTCACCTGTAAATGTAAAAATTACACCTCTAGTTTGAAATGCTTGCACCCTGCAGTTAAATGGATGGTTAGGGGCTGGTGATACAGCTAAGGACAACACCTGGAATCCCTCAGCAGAACGCATGAGCTGCATGATGAAAAACAAATGTCTGCACCCTCCTCCTTCTTTTTTTTTTTCTTTAACCCTCCTGTTAGCCCTGCAGCATCAGGCTGTGTTTTGCCTGGCTAGGATGAACTAATGGCTACTGCCAGACCCACTGCCAGCACTGTGACTCTTGACCTAAATTGTGAAGGTCAGGGGAGTTCGCCTCCAACTACTTCTGTTAATATCTTTAGAAATTATGAATTATATGTGTTTTTACAGGGAAACAACCCTAACATATACAATCAGCTTGAAAGGGTCAGTTCATATGAGTGGTTGCTTATGAGGACAGCAGCCCTAACATTAGGTAAGGGTTGGTTACCTGGTATACAACATTTTAAAAAGTAACTTTCACAACTAAGAAATTCCAGTAATTTTTTAGGTATATATTTTATAACTTCACAAATAAACAAACAATGATTAATGAAAACTGATATAATTTTGGTATATTCTGGTCTGGGCTGGCCACTATTTTCCAAGTGTTTTTCATAATTACCCCAATCTAAGCTGCTACTGTGGCCAAAAAAAGGCTTCTTTTTTTGTCTTGATTTGTAGGCTAAAATAAAAGTCTCAAGATCTCAAATCGTACTTTAGAGAATTGTTTTAGTGGTGAACAATTTAAAACAACAAAATAGCCCTTTAATTCAACATGAAATAGGATCCTTTAGACCTGCACTCATGCCTCCCCATTAATTATGCCACCCTGGACAGTGAGCCATATGAAAAAACTGTATGGGTCCTACTGGTTTTTGGATGAAGACAAACGGACGAATAAACGTGCTTCTGTGTTTGCCTGTGCTGGCTAACCTGAATTATCTCCAGTTGTAGCCCTATGTTCTCGAGCCCCACCTATTGCTGCGCACTCCTTAACCACAATAAAGCGTCTAACAAGTAGTTTTCACTGCTCTCCCACAACACAGGGAATCAATGCAAAAAAGCAGACAGATTCTAAGCCTTATTCGGGTTGATTCACACTTTTTTCTTACAGTTGCTTCTTTTTTTTTTTAGTTTGTTTCTTTCAAAATTCACCAACGCCGTTGATCATTGATTAGTTCTAATAAATTATTTAAATTTAGTTTTTTTGCGCAAAAAATATTAAATTATAATCATGCCTCTGTTTTTGCTCAATAAAAATAAATGAAAAGGCATAACTTATGGAGAATCACCTGCCAAATCTGTCTGAATTGAAACTTTACTTATGTTTTATTGCATCATAAATTATCAATCAATTTCACTTTTGCTGTCAAGGAAATCGAAAGTCTTCCCTTTTTCTTTTTTCTTTTTAAACACAGCTCAATGAATGGAGGCGCACAAGCAGGAAAAGTCGCCACCTACCCTGGAGATGGTTAACGGTGTGCTAAAATCCCGTCCTCCCACCAGGCGAAAACCCCATGGAGAGGGTCCCTTTAGTGTCACGGTATTGGACATCTTGGTTATCAAGACTTTGAAATAGTTTTTCAATGAAAGTGCAGATGACAAAATGAAGAAGGGCAAAAGTCCGGCAGAAAAGCGACCGTGAAGTAGTCAGAGTCCTCTCTCTCTAGCTGCTAAGCAACGCAGTGCGGCTCTGAAAACTGCGCTCCTGATTCAAGTTGAAGTATAGATCCGCCTCTGACGTCAGTGGACGGTCTGTCCCGCCCACTTTTCAGCCGCTCAGAAAGCGTGAGAGGGTGGGGGAGATCTCATGGGGAGAACAGACACTGATTACCCCCCATGTCAACCTTGCTTAGAACAATAAATACATTTAACGGTGTTCACACTTTAAAGAAATACCTAACTTTTTTCAATTTTTCTTACATTAATATAACACTACACTTTCCTGTTTTGTTTTCCTTTTTTCCTCTAGGTTGTGCAGGGTTATCCCACAGCTTTTATGAAGTAACTGGTTGACTTCAGGTTGATTTTCAAAACAATATCAAGATATCAAAGTGCCCAGTCTATTTAGACTTAGACAGATTTTATTTGTCATTTTGTTTACACAAGTGTAAAAGAAAAAGCCATTTTGTTTGGAACAGCTCTCTGGACAATTTCATATTTTTTTTAAAGTGTAGCCTTAGAAAAATAGTTATATATATATATATATATATATATATATATATATATATATATATATATATATATATATATATATATATATATATATATATATATATATATATATATATATATATATATATATATATATATATATATATATATATATATATATATATATATATATAAGCAGTAATATAAACATATGACTGTAAATTTACAGTTCTAATATTTAAATTTAATTTATATATAATTATCAAATATAATAAAATACAATAAATTAACCCATTTTACAAAACATTCAGCAGTCTAATGGCAGTGGGGAAGAAACTGTTGTGGAATCTGCTGGACCTGCATCCAATGCTTAGAAGTCTCTTCCCAGAGGGCAGCAGGGAGAACAGTCCATGGGGGTTGTGAAGGGTCAATTATGATGTTATGGACTCAGGACACGCAGCACTGGGATGAGATGTCTTATATGGAGGGAAGAGGAGCCCAGATTATCTTCTCTGCTGTTCTCACCACTCTCCTCACTTTCTTCCAGTCTGAGGCGCTGCAGCCTCCACACCAAACAGTGAGACAGCTGGTCAGAATGCTCTCTATGGTGCTTCTTTAGAAGGTGGTGAGGATGGGTGGGCTCAGGTTTGTTTATTCTATTTCTTCAAACACTCCATGTTTAAAAACCTCGTTCAGTCATCTTTGACAGGTTATGGTGCAAAATTTTGAATTTTAGAGCAGAAGACTAAGGAAAGATGCTGATGCTGGTTAGGGAGAGTCATCATCCAGAGTAAAACTAATCCTTTACCAATGAGCCAAAGGCTACTCAACCCTTTAGTCTTCTGGAAGAACAGCTCACTCCAAAAAGAAAATAAATAAATAGATAACTAAATACTGCAAATCCACTTGGAGACAGATTTCTGAGACATTTTCTAAACTACAAATTATGTTTTGACCAAACTGACGACTTGGCCCTATCTCAAAGAATTTTTCGAAATAGTCGAAAAATGATGCGTTTTAACCAGTCAGTGAGTTATGGATGTTTTAAAATGTAGGATGAGTGGACAATGGGTCTGAAAGAGGAGTCCAATCACAGCTCAAGTAGGACATTACAAGGAAAGGAGACTTATGTCTTCTGAAAGCCAACGCTGTTTTCACCTCAAAAGAGCTTTTCATTGGACTAACTATGCGGTTTGTTGGCTATATCAGCAGGTTAATAAATGATAAGTACTGTATTATGATATTAAAATTAGTATTCATTAATTTATTTATTTAAATTTTATTATCAAGTTTAATCAGACCTCAAATTTTATATTTAGTTAAGAGTGAGATCGTTAATTTTCGGAGGCGTGGATGACTTGACCCTGGAAGAGAAATCTTTTTCTCCTGATTTCTATAAGAAAATCAAAGTCAGGATTTTCTCTGACTGAAAGCCCTGTGGCTGTAAGGCTGTCAGAATGGCAGTCTGCAGCACTGGGGCCTCCAGGCCACCGTCCTGTCTCCATTTCTCTTCACCCTTTACACCTTCACCTTGTGGGCTGTGTGTCTGAGGGGAATGGGCAGGAGTACCGGTCAGTCATCATGGACTTTGTGGACTGTTGTGAGAAAAAACATCTGTGTTTAAACACCAGTTAGACTGGTGATCGACTTCAGGAGACGACCCCCGTGTGAACATTCAGGGGCAGGACATAGAAACTGTGGAGAGTTTCAAATACCTGGGTGTTCACGTCAATAAGAAAGCTGACTGGACACATAACACTATAATAATAATTGGAAATAACTATCAAACATTTTAACTTTTTGTAAAAAATGTATTTTTTCCCCTACATTTTGAAATCAATACTAACAAAGTATTTCAAGATAATAATTTAATATGTCTGTCTTTGCTTTTGTACATAACAAACCACTAATTGTTTAAAATTACTTAATTCAGAATTTTTTCGGGTTATCCATAAGTACTGAACTTTGCTGAATCGAGCCATAAAACTACTGTAAATAGCAGCTGACGCTCTTATAAGTGGTGTAGTACTGTAGCACAGGCACACTCAGTAGGGTTAAACAAGCGCACCCTTTCCGAGGCTGTCGTTCTATTGGCTGGAAAGGTTGCTAGGCGACGATCCAACTGCAATCCGCGAGAGAGCGAAAAAAATCCGCAAGCAGAGCCTATGGGTTTGCGAGCGTAACTGAGACTCGAGCAGAGCGTGGTTTGTGCGCGAAGAGAAGGAGGCAAGCGAGAGGAGAAAATATCTGTGCAAGAAGCATTAAATCTGAGAGAAGAAACAAAGATTTGAGAGAGAAGAGAAAATATTTGAGAGAGAGCGCATGTTTTGAGTGTGAGCATTATAAGTTTTGTGTGCAAGAAGATGAGATTCTTTTCTCAAATTGAAATTATGTGCTCTTGCATTATGGCAGGATAATTCTCCCATAGCCCGCTTCCCTAAGTTTAGACCGCCCACAAGCTCCTAAATGGCCCACCGTCTTTGCTTGTGTGATTGGCTGTCACCGCTGTCACTCCTGAGAAGCTCACTCTACAAAGATCTGATGCTCCAATGAATCAGGTCTGTGATTGGAGGGTCAAACACCATGAAGTTCGATATATGTAAAAAAAATACTTGCGTTCACCCCACTTCTGAAATTAAAATTTCAACCATGGGTGGTTTTAAAATCTCTTTTTCGCTGTGAAGCTGGCAAATTATGAGAAAATAAATCTGTGGGAACATCGAAGCAACAGCTCAAGAACCAGTAGGTAGCTTGGTCATAAATAGGTCTTTCAAATGAACACCGACCCTAGGATTGAAGTCTACTTTGTTAAAACTATAAATGACTTATATCAGTCAAAAGATAATTGAATACATCAGAGTCTCTAAAATGTTGGACAGGGTGACATGAAAAGAAGACAGCAACATGGCAGACCTGCCAGATTTTCCGCCATGCTGCTAGATAATGGGGGGGAAATAATCTGATTTTGGTACCAGCTGAAGTCAAAATTCACAATTCTCCCAAGCTGCCTGGCATTTGTGTTAGATCATTGGTGATTAATAGAGTTCTTTGTAAATCTGCTATGGTGTGTCCACATCAAACATGCTTCCAGTGACCAAATGTATTGGAGCATTCAGGAGTGCTGCAATGCAAAGCTATGTGAGGATAATGATGATTACAGGGATGCAATAGAGGCCTGACCCCAGTGATATGCGCAGCTGCCTCTGCCCAGCTTGGATGCCCTCTATGCACAGCTTATTGTTCTGACCCCCACAGTTGCAGTGTTTCCATCTAACTTAGATGCAGTTTTTAAGGGAAATTTTAAAGGTAAAAAAAAATTCTAATTTTGCAGGGTTTCCTCTTGGTTTAAAAGAAATTAACCAAGCAACACAAAGCTCAATGTTGAATGTATGACTAATTAATAATTAATAGGAAGTATCAGCTAGAGCCTGTTATCTACAATGGACCCAAGATTAGTAATGGAGTAGAGTTTCAATGAATGTGTTGCTATCCAGCAAGTTGTTCTTACATTAATATGTCAGCTAGTAATTGCGATGTTTCTTCCAGCCATGTCTATGAGCTCAATTCAAACGTCCAGGAAAATTCAGTCAGCAGATACAGCTGATCAGTCATCAGAGGTTAAAGTTTGCTAAATCAGAGCTGATTGAAAAAAACTGTTTCCATCTCCCGTTTTGCACTCTTTTTTGCAAAAACCACCTCAAGCAAACGTAAAAACTTCTTTGCAAATATAAAGAAGGTGTGTTGAATTTTGCCTTTTCCATCTAGCTTTTCTGATATGCTGCTTCAAAATGCACATTACAAAAAGCTGATGGAAACGGCCCTTGTGACTTCTGAATTCCAGGTCTGCCATGTTTCGCTAAAACTAGAAAGCAGCAGTTAGAAAGTCAGCCGAATCAATGAGATTTTGCAGCAACTGGATTTTATTTACCTTGTTTTGGACATTTATAATTTCAGTTTGACCATCCACACACAAATAATGGTGAATCTGATGGGGAAAGTCGAGATTTCGTTTAGATCGTTGACTGATAAACATTAATTTAGACTGAAAATGACACATCTTAAACTCCTGGGCATTCGCATGTTGTCTTTTTCTAACAAATGAGTTCTGTCAAGCAATATATTTTGAGCTTATTAAATCAAAGCTTCCAGCTACACCCAGAATCATTAGCAGGAAGCTAATGGGAAGCTATATGAAGAGATTTTGGAGCAGTACAAAATTAATATTTAGATTTTGTATTAATGATGTTATGTGGTACTCATAATATTAGTTAATTTGTTGAAGTTAATTTAGAAAGAGCACATAATGTAATCAAATGGTAGGTATTGGTATTTTTTTCTTTGAATGGAGGACTTTGCCCTGTTTTGTTCTGACAATTATATCTACATTTTGTGTAAATCGCCTTCTGATTGAATCCTGCCCTGTTTCCTTAAATTATTTGTTGAATTGAAGGTATACAGTTCGCTGGAGAAACAAATATATAGAAAGCAAATGCTAAAAACTAAGTTCTCAAGACATAATCTGGATTTTGCAATTAAATTTAAATCCAGT